TTTGGGAGGTTCTCTGGGGGTTCTTTGAGAGGTTCTTTTCAGGTTCTCGGAGGGTTCTTTGGGAACCTGTGGCCCCATTTACCCCCAAGTTGTCAGCCAAGAGCCTGCGGGTGACCATCGGGGAGGCGTTCGAGCGGCTGCACCAGGAGCGGCAGGAGGGGCTTTTAGGGTCCTTGGGGAGGTTCTTTTAGGGTTCTTTGCAAGGTTCTTCCACAGGTTCTTTTATGGTTTCTTAGGGTTCTTTGGGAGGTTCTGTAGGAGGTTCTTTAGGAGATTCTCTTAGAGTTCTTCGCAGGGTTCTTCCAGAGGTTTTTTTATGGTTTCTTAGGGTTCTTTGGGAGGTTCTTTAGGAGGTTCTTTCAGGATTCTTTTCAAGGTTCTTTTAGGGTGGTCTTAGGGTTCTTTCAGGGTTCTATTAGGGTTCTTTGCAGGGTTCTTTTAGGGGTTCTTTTATGGTTTTTCTTAGGGTTCTTTGGGAGGTTCTTTAGGAAGTTCTTTCAAGGTTCTCTTAGGGCTCTTTGCAGGGTTCTTCCAGGAGTTCTTTTACGGTTTCTTAGGGCTCTTTGGGAGGTTCTGTCGGAGGTTCTTTTAGGGTGGTCTTAGGGTTCCTTGCCAGGTTCTTTCAGGGTTCTCTTAGGGCTCTTTGCAGGATTCTTCCAGCGGTTCTTTTATGGTTTCTTAGGGTTCTTTGGGAGATTCTGTAGGAGGTTCTTTAGGAGATTCTCTTAGAGTTCTTTGCAGGGTTCTTCCAGAGGTTTTTTTATGGTTTCTTAGGGTTCTTTGGGAGGTTCTTTTCGGGTTCTCTTAGTGTTAATTAGGGTCAATTAGCCCCTGGCCCCCAGTAACGCCGTTTGCCCCCCCAGTCGTCAGCCAAGAGCCGGCGGGTGACCATCGGGGAGGCGTTCGAGCGGCTGCACCGGGAGTGGCAGGAGGGGCTTTTAGGGTCCTTGGGAGGTTCTTTTAGGGTTCTTTGCCAGGTTCTTTAGGAAGTTCTTTCAGGGTTCTGTTAGGGTTCTTTGCAGGGTTCTTCCAGCAGTTCTTTTATGGTTTCTTAGGGTTCTTTGGGAGGTTCTTTAGGAGGTTCTTTTAGGGTTCTCTTAGGGTTCTTTGCAGGGTTCTTCCAGAGGTTTTTTTATG